TTTCCTCGGACCACAGTTCCACCACAAATAGTCATTCCTAGTGTGAAAAAAATGCTCAGAAGTTTTTACTTGAAATGAGGTTTTGTTGCTCTTGAAATGTAAGATATCAAAAGGGTAGTTTCATTTGCTGATACACAGTATAACACACAGCAACCACAGAGGAAGTAATTGCCTATCTAAACTGCAAGAGAAAAATGCAGTACTTGATGGATTGGGGTATGTATGTCAGTGAAGTGAGAGGTTTGTCACACACCTGCTTTTTGGATTGCATAGTGCTGGGCTCTGCCATAAAAAAGAAGCAGCATGGTAGAGCCCGGGGTAATGGCACAGCCAAAAGCAGGTGTGCATGGCATGTGCCACTGCAAACAGCTAGTGAAGGAGCGTGCAAAATACAGCCCTCTCTCAAATACGCCATGCTGATTTAGGTGTACCTCAGTAGCCGAGAGCATCTTGACTATCATAATCACCTGATGTGTAACCTGAATATGCATCCCTTGTTGATGTTTGTGTACCTAAAGAGTCTTCGGATTGGTTGGACAGAGGTGACAGTATGTGCCAAGGAACAGAGCGCTCAGTGAGAGGATGGGTTGATGAATCTTACTTTCAATTATCAGTGCACAGGAAAGATTCTTTTCCTTGTTCAAACCAGCCTTGCTGAAGTCCCACTTAGCACAGGGGACCTTAGTACCTCTGCTGCAAAGTCATCAATCAAATTTTGCAACTCTTTGCAATGAGTATCAGGGCAGTTGAACTCATTGGAAGGAGTTTGATCCTGTTTGACTCGTTTGAATGGGTTGGAACCACTTTGATCCTGTTTTAACTGGCTTGGTCTGGTTTGAACTGCTTAAAATGCTTTGAACCAGTCAGAATCTTTTTGAATCAGTTTAAACCAGTTGGAAGCACTTTGAGCCAGTTTGAACTGGCTGGAACCAGGTTTTACCATTTTTGTCTGATTGGATATGGTTTGATGCAGCATACTGTAGAGGAATACATTAAGAAACTGTTATATTCCTTTGAGCCAAAGTTACTCCTGAAAACTCTCTATAATCAATTACCATTTAAACCACTGTTTTGGAAGGAAATATGTTCTGGGATAACAGTGAAGATTGCGGCTCTTCGGTATCACGACATTAGAACACCTAGACCTCCAAATTTTCTTGTTCGTCTCTCTACAAGGCATAGAATGCCGACACCTAACTCTCTCAGACATGGCAGATGTCCACGTAGCTTTGTACTGTTTTCTTTCCTTTCAGATGAATAATGGCATGATTCAAAAAGTTTGATGCAGATCTTACCTGGGTCCAAGCATTACAAAATATATTTTACCCTCTGGAATTGTTTTTTAATATCAGTCCTTTATTGAAATATACTACTACATTAGTGGAGATCAGCCTCTTCTCCCAGATAACTAGCAACAGGGTGAGAGGACATAGCCTCTAGCTGCACCAAGGGAGGTTCAGGTTGGACATTAGGAGGAATTTCATCATGGAAGGGGTTCTTAAACATTGGAATGGACTGCCCGGGGAGGTGGTGGAGTCACTATCCTTGGAGGTGTTCAAGAAATGACTGGATGTGGCACTGAGTACTACGGTCTAGTGGAAAAGGTGGTGGTCAGTCAAGGGTCGGATTCAATGATCTCAGGAGTCTTTTCCAACCTCACTGATTCTGTGATTCTTTGTTTTAGTACCTGCTGCAATGTGGTCCTGAGCTGTGCCACCGTAACACGCAAATATAAATTTCCTTTGAGTTCTGTAATTACATTAAGGTTTGTATAAATCATTATAAATGTAGAGGATTTTAAGAAAGCATGTAGAGAAAAACCTGGTACCTATACCACCATTCACAATATTAATTATGAAAGCTGATAGGATTTTTCAAATCCAGTATACCTTCTGATTGATGGTTTTGCAACTCCAGATGCTTGGGCAATAAAATTCACTGAAATCAAATTCACCATTACACAAGTTTCACAGGAACTTTTTAAATGTCACCCTAGATTTTATAGGCATTTACTGTGGGTATGTAATTTGGATTTGTGATTTCTTGAACTTCCCTGGAAACCCAGTGAAGGTGACACCTGTTAGGCTACTAAAGCCACTTTCCAATGCAAACTCTTGCACACCTGATATTTCTGTCCAAGTACAAAAATTGGAGAATAATATTTGCTTCAGATGAGTTTATGAAGGGTATGCAGTGATTTTTAAGGACCTTAAAACTGACAAAAAGATACACTTACATGTACTTTTAAGTCACAGGCTTTTTAACAGTTGGGAAATACCTTCCCAGCCAGGTTCTATCAGGGAAAAAAACCCCAAACAACCAAAACCAACCAATCAACTACTTTTGGAATAAATCCAGGCAATTTGCACTTTCTAATCCCAAATCCCTGAATTATCTCAGTCCTTTAACTCTGGTGTCAAATGTCAAATTTATTAAGCTGGGATAAAAATTCTGTTTATCTCATAAGGAGGAAAATAAAAAGCCCTTGGAGAGACTTGATCCTGAATAGGCAAAATCCATTGCAGGGGCATTAGGGCTGACTCAGTCACAAGTCACTGAGAAAGCTCAGTGATGCAGACACATGGAGCATCCCTGGATGCCCTTTCTTACACATAATGGAGCATAGAAAGAGTTGAAAAAATGTTTTCCAGAGAAGACCCCTATCTAGTTATTTGTTGCTGTTGCTTGAACCATCTTCTCCAAGTCAAGATATATCCATTTCCAGTCGAAAAGTGATTAATGAACACCTCAGGTTGAAGTACCTTTGTTCCTCCATTGGCCACCACACCTTGGGTATTGGAAAAAAGACTTTCTTTCTCCCCAAGCTGAGAGCTTGTGGTCCCTGAGCCACCACTTCTGCCACAGCTGTGAAGCAGCAATGCTCCCCCTTGCACCTACTCCACAGCAGAGAGGCTGACAGGTTGGCAGCCACCAGGGATCCCTCGGCAGGGCTGCAGGGACATCATCTTGAAATTGGGATGGACTTATTTAATGAGGTCACTGAGCTACTAACTAGAAACCAAGCCTGGAACTATAGGTGTTACTCCAGGGAAGCTCCAGAACATCAAAAATAAATTAACTCCGATTAATGGAGAAGCAAGCCCTCCCTCTCTCATCCCTTGTGGCAATAAATGTGCCCGTCAGCTGGTGCTGCAATGAATACATCTTCCACGGGGCCTCTCTTCTTGCCTCTGAAAAGTTTCCCCTAGCATAAGGGAAAGAAGTACCCCAAAAAAGAGAGATGCTCCCAGCTTACAGAGTTACGGCAAAACTGGCAAATAGATATCACACATGGGGAACTGTTCTGTTGACTACCAACCTGTGCCTTAAGGCTAGGGAGCATGGAGTCAGGGATTGCTGTAGAGAGTGCCTGCAATCAAAAAACCTCTTGTTCAGGACTCACATTCCCCTTTGAACATGGTTACAAGTTGTGAGTTTCCTTTTCACCACTTACGGACCCTCAGGACTTAACTCATGGATTTTGGTGGAGCCTTAATATTTCCTAAACTATGCTGTATTGTTCAAAGCTGACGGGACTGGCCCCCTTAAAGGATGCAGTACAGCCAGGAGATGGAGAGGTGGAGTGCTCCACCTCTAGAGTACAGCTGGAGAGTATAGCTAACAGTTGCTAGGTAGATCAGCCTGTTGGGCTTGAAACACAGCCTACTTGGGGCACCTTCCAGGCATGCCCAGGTATACTGCCCAGAACAATAACTGACCTTTTTTTTTTTGCTCTGTGCCTGCATACACACACACACAATTAAAAAAAAAATTAAATGAACTTTGCTTTCCTATCACACTGCAGCTGTGCGTAAGCTGCTGTGTAGGAGAAAAAAAAATGCTGCCCCCCAGACCCTGAGATGGGAACAGTCTGGGTAATCCCCTGGGAAGGGCATTAAAGTCGGGGGGCAGGTGGGGCAGAGCCTCCCTGGAGGCAGGCAGCTCCTGTGGCTCCCGGGAAACCCTCCTGCGGCATCAGCAAGACTGCTGTTTTCCTGTGTGGAAGGGGCGGGGAAGGGGACGGCAAAGCCAGAGCGACTGGGAAGATCCCAGCCGCACCTCCGAGGAAAAGAGCGTTCCTTGTGTCGCACGCAGCCCTGCTTTGGGGGAACTTCTGGGCTAGAGAAGGCGACGTTCCCTGGAGTACCATGGTGTGGGGAAGGCTGTGGAGCAACGTTGACACACCTGGTGTGCGAGGTGTTGAACCTGGTAATGGCTGCAAACAGCCTGCCTTGGCTCTGCAAAGGGAAGGACAACTTAAAAAAAAAGAAAAACCCAACGAAAACCCCCCAAACAAACGTAAAAGCCCCTAAACCATTAAAAAAAGAAAAAAAAAACCAACCAAAACCTAAGCCTTAGAAAGCATGAGTAAAACCAAATCGAGCCCTGGTTGAACAGCCAACCTGAGGTGTAGGCTCTGCTATCCCACTGAGTGAGATTTGGTGAGTACGCGGTGAAGGCAGAGGCTAGGAGACAGCTTTCTAGGGGTGCAAGGGTAAGGTCTGGCAGGGACCGACCCCATCCTTAAGAGAGAGGCCCTGGAGGGCAAACGGCGGGACGTTCCCCAGGGATGGTGGGTTCTCCGACAGCTCACCTGGTGCTCTCCCTCTCTCCCCCTGCCCTCTACCCTGCTGCTTGTGGGAGAAGACGGGTGACGCCCGGCCGGCATGGGGCTCCCCCACTCTGCATTTTATGGCTCCCTAAAGATGTCCCGGCCCTCCCGAGCCCTGTAGGTGCGTGTGGGGTGGGGGCTGAGGAGGGGGTTGTCAGGCCCATGGGAACAGTGTGGGGAAGAGGGAGCCGGTGTTGAGGGGTCCGGCTGGCGTCTGCTCCCGGGTGTACAGCCGGGGTGGGCTGGGGCAGGGGGTGCGAGCGTGTGTTGGTGCGTGTGCGGGCGCCCACGTGTGTGCACCAGCATCTGCGCGCCCGTGTGCCCGCGGGTGTGCGCGCAGGGGGCGCGGGCGGGGGAGGCGAAAGGGGGCCGGTTCTGCGGCGGGTGGCTCCCAGCCTCCCCCGCCCCCTTCCCTCTGGGTCCGCTCCTCTCTCCAGCTCGCATTTTATCGCAGGCGGCCGGCGCAGCCCCCTCTCACCAGCCCCGGCCCCGGCCCCCGCCCACCCCCGGGGTGGAGGCAGCAGCGCCGAGCCGCCCGCGGGAAGAAAGCAGCGCTCCTCCGGCTCCGCGCCCCTCTACGGGGCCATGCAGCGCCCCTGTGCCCTCGGTTCGAGCGCAGCCCCTCGCCCCACAGCCCGCCGCGCCCCCTGAGCGCCCCACGGGGGCTCCGCGCCGCTCCGCGCCCGGCGCTGGGACGGGGCCGGCACAGGCGGCACAGGAAAGCTCCGCGGCTCTCAGCGCGACTGCCCCGCTGCCCCGGCCATGGGGAAGGGGCTGGAGGGAACGGCGGCCCGCTGCGGGCTGGGACTGGGATACCTGCTGCAGACGGTGGTGCTCCCCGCCCTGGCCGTCCTGGGGGCCAGCCGCCCCGGCTCCGCGGCGCAAGGTAAGGCGATGGATGGATGGATGGAAAAGGGTCGGGGCATCCTCCGCGTGCGGGCTAGGTATGCAAATTCATCCCTTGATTTCTCTCCCCCCCTTCCCCGTGTTTGTATGTGCAAACAGTGCATTCCCCTGCATGCACAACCCCCGCCGGGGTCCGGCCGCGCTAGCCGAGTTGGGTCCGCCGGTGCTGAAACCTGGCCGGGACAGGCGTTTTTTCCCTACACTCCGTCCTAAAGTGGGGCACGGAGAGCGGAGGGGGAAGTTTGGGCTGAAGGAGCCCCGCCGATAGCGCTCCGGGGCGGGAGAGCGGCGCCGGTGCGCCCCGGAGGGCTGGCAAGGTGCGTGGGAAAGGCAGGTGCGGGGCGGGTGTCCCTCCGCAGGGGCGCAGCCGTGCCCCGGGGCTCTGCATCCGAAGGTCATTCTTGAACTCCCCCCTCGCCCCCCACGCCCTCCTTCTTCCTGCCTAAAACATGATATACCCGAAGGGAGTTACCGTCTTTCTGTGTTTATGTTTTGGGATTTTGTTTCCCTTCCCGTGTCGGGGATTCTGGAGTACATCTAGATCTGCTTTCCCTGTGGCCCGTGTATAAATTCATCTTTCCAAGTGACGATGTCCTGATTCTCAGTTTGTGTTTAGGGATGTTTGAGAGCATCACAAAGAACCCTGTCTCAGTGTGGCACCCACCCGGCAGACAGCCACAGCAGGAGGCTTTTTCTCCTGCGAGCTGATGCTGGACAAACTTTCTCGGTGCTTTTCTTCTTTCTTCCCAGGAGTTAGACTTATTGTGGAAATGTGTTGCTTTTGTGGAGGACTGGATATAGAAAAAGGTTGTTGCTGCATGTGGGCAGAGCTGCATAGATCAAGGATGTGCGGGTTTGCTAAAGCACTTGGAAATCTCAGTTATATGGCTAACAAGAGAAAAGGAATTTTAGAGGCTGTTTTGTTTGGGTGGGTTTTTTTTGTCCTTGTATGTAACCAAGAAGTAATAATACGCACCAGAGTTTTGATTTGGACTTGTTACTGTAATGCAAGTGTAAGAATGCTTGTTTTTTCCCCCACGTTATTTCTGTGGAGAGGCACTTGTGAAAACTGCACAGATCTGACTCTGTGCTCTCACCTAGCCATTACAGAGTGCACTTTCCTGTGTGGCCTTTCTGACAGGAGAGTAGTGCTGGTTGCTCTGTCTCTCAGTGCCCCTGGCAGGCTTTTGGGAGCTGTAGACTGGTGGGCTGGATGCACTGCAAATCATGTCTGTACATGCAACGGTGTTAATCCATTTCCTGCTGATACTTACTCCATCCTCAGACTCACATCCCCTTTCTCCTACCAGGCATTTGTCTCATAGGAAGATCAGAAATCTGATCATGAAAAGGGGGTAACAGAGAATGAAAGTACAAAAATGTCCTATGCATTGTGCCACGTTTCATCTGTGTCTTTTACACACTGTTTCCTTCCCCTGGTTGGTTTCGTATTCAAGATAGGACAGGTCTGATGTTTTGTATTTAAAGGTTTTAATAGTACCATATGCCCGTAGACCTAGATGTCAGTACCTATCAGTCTGTGTAGATGGGGGGGGTTGTTGAAGAACATCCTTTCAGATAGTTGGACCTGGAGTGGAAAGGAGCCTGCCTGCTCTGCTGAGCAGGATATGGGAGGTTGCATGACAGATGGCCTGAGTGGGGAAGAGAGGACCCCCTGCGTTTGGCTGTTTCAGAGCGCTCATCTCAGTGCCACAGGGCATACCTCACGCTCTCGGGTGGTTTCTCCTTTCCACACTTATAAACACAATGCTGTGTGACAGAAATGCCATGAGGGGAGAAGAGCCAGGCCCCTTGTGCCTGCACTGCAGAGGGCGACTCATGTGTGGGACCTGTCACAGGACACAGGTGTGCTCACCTACCCAGAAGGGGACAGAGAGCTCTTCAGCAACACTTCCCAATGTGCATCGTGGGATAAACTTCCACGACACAGTGGAAAATCCAGGGAATGTTGTAGGGATATAGCTATTTGTCTTGGGCTTGTTTTTCCATGTTTATTTTTATTTCCCATTTGCTAGGACCAGGCACAGAATTTGGGTGCAGACCTGGTTTTGGCATTTTTCCCAGAGCTGAGGGATTTTCTGACTGGTGTGCAGTGAGGATCTTCATGTATGTGTATGTGGTGCTTCAGTGAGGCAATGAATCAACAGTTTAACTATGCCCTCTTCAGGAAGTTTCCTCATCATATAGCACTGGGCAAAGTTTTCCCTCTATTTTATATGTATATTTCAAAACCATATATATTTCATCTCCATTCCCCAACTATCTTTATCTTTTGAAGCAGGCTAAGAAAGCTATGAGTGTTGCTGAGTCTTCTGCTTTCATGCTTTCCTTTTCATTGCCTCGTGGAAAATGAATTTATTAACCGAGTAGTTGGTGGACCAACCCCCCCATGCTCCCTGGCAGATTCATATCACTGCGTCTCTGAGTCCTCCTGTGAGCTTCTCAGCAGACTTAAATACACTTTTTGTTTCATTAGTATTTCTTATCTTCTTATCTGAAGCTGTCTAAGTATTTTTCCGTTGTTATCAGGAGAGAACAGGAAATGGCCACAATGATAGAGACAGCCCTTAATTCTCAAAGTGGCATGAATGAGGCCAGAGTGATTATCAAACCAGAATCAACTCTGATCTGGCATTTCACTGCATTCACTATGCCTCTATGATACAAGCTACATCAGAATGAGGATTTAAATGTCTCAAACTGTGCATTTTCAGTGCCATCTCCATAAGGGCAACTTTTCCTTTGGCTCTTCAATCAGCAGAGAATGGGTTTCAGCTGTTGTGCTTTCCTACCCCGCCCCACTTCCCACCTTTCAAAGTGTTACCCACTTACACTGTGGCTCTCACCTTTTTGGTGTGTAGGTGGGACGAAAGGGAGAGTCAGGCTATCTATCTGTAGTGACAGGCATGGTTCAGACAGCTTTTTGGGTTAATAACAGTGGTGTAAAAGATGGATAGAAAAGCTAAAGGGACTACATATTAATGAGGTTGTGTTTCATTTGTTCCTTTACAATAAAAGAGTGCATTTTTTTTATGCTTAACCCCTCAAACCTAATTAAATCAAAGTGACAATTTAAAAAGAAAACTGTAAAAGAGCCATATGTGCAGATATTTGTCTTGCCCCAGCATAGTCTGTATTAGCAACAGCAGCAGTTTGAAAATGCTTAGTGCGGAAAAAGTGAAATATAACACGTGAATGTACTAACCTTTTGGGGATGCATTTCCTAATTAAATACCTAAACACGTCTTGTTGAAGAAAGGGGGGGGAAAGGACTTAATTATCTTGATGCATCAGTAGACCTCTTGTATTTGATCATGTGGGTGTAATAGTATTTGTATTAATAAAGCAAGAGCCAAGTAGTATTTCGTTGTGAATGAAGAAGGCCCTTTGGAACATTAATCTGTTTTAAGGCAATGTACTGTGGCAGATTTCAGTGATGTTGACAAGTTTGAGCTGGATGTGGCAGTCTGCACCAATACTGAGTAGCATTTTAGTGTGGCAGTACTCGTTGCTGAAAGCAAAGCAGACACAAGGTTTGCTTTGCTGACTGAGGTGCAATTTAAGCAGGATTAAAATTAAGTGGATGGATCTGTCCAGAGAGGAGGGATTCCTACCTGGGAACACGGGAGTCAGGATCTGGGCTCTTCTTCCTCTGGCTCCAGGCTCTAGCAGCTGGTTGCAATAGTTGTGGAAAGAGTATATACATCACATCCTTCTGATGGCTCTTCAGCATTACTGTCAGTGTCATCTATTCCTTTGTGCAGTAAGAATGCCAGACACTTCCACAGTTGTTGTGCATGTTTGCACTTAATCATTTTACATGGATCACTCACTACATAACTTTAGTTTTCTTCGGTAATGGTCTCAAACCCCAGTTATTCACTGTATTTTGGGACTGGCTTTGTGTGTGACATCCAAATTCAGAAACAGGAAGCAGCATTAACCAAATGAAAAATATTTTCCTAATTTAATTTTCCAAATACAGTACATCTGAAAACAGGAATACAACTCTGTGCCAAGGCCAGGCAAATCACTTCCATAGCTGGTCTGTGCAGAAAGAGGGGAGAAAATGTAGATTATATTTATTAGATATTTTCAGGTAAATATCTTTATTTTAATGCAAATTGAGGAGAGTTCCTTTGGGGCACAGTCTGCCCAGTTCATTTGAATAAGATGCAAAGCAACATCAGTTCCTATGGAAGGTGAGAGTGGCCCAGGCTGAGTAGGACAACAGTTTAGTATTTATGTACAATATACAAACAGAGTTTTGTGTACAAGTAAAATACTAGGAGAGTTATATTTTGAAAAGAGAAGCTACATTTATGTCATGCTACCAGCTAAACAATCTTGTTTGGAGTAACCCGTTCTATAGTGTGTGGCTATATTTGTTGATTTCTGGTTCTTTCTGGATTTTACATCATCAGACTTTTGCGGAATCAGTTCTGGTTCCTTCTTCCACAAAAAGGCACAAAAATGGCTTCTGCAGCTGATCAGGAAAACATTTTTGAATTGCTGTTGCACAGGAGAATTCCTGGGTAGATTTGCATTGCTCAAAGTAGTGAGCAGTTTGCTGCGATTTAGTCAAAGAATATTGGATTCAATGTGAACCTCAAATGCTGGGATTGTTGGTTTGTCACTGAAAATACGCTACTGGAGGCTATCTTTGAAAAAAAACTTAATGTAATCATGCATGTTCTGCCTATGCAATATATTTCATGCAACTATCTGTATGTCCCTATAGGAAAAAATGGCATTCCCTTTCCTTCTTTCCCCCCTGTAGGGTGGAGAGAGGGCTGTGCTAGTTTGTGGAGTGCACATCTTGTTAGCCACCCAGTGGAGGTATTCAAGTCTAGCAGGCAGCAATCTTGGCATCAGTGCCAATAAAGCAGTAATTACACTGTCTGTCATTTTCATGAGCCATCTTCGCTTCACATTTGGCTTGGAGGTATAAAACAGCTT